ACAGCTCACTTCATGCCTCCGATGAAGTGAGCTGTAGCTCACGAAAGCTTATGCTCAAATAAATTGGTTAGTCTCTAAGGTGCCACAAGTACTCCTTTTGTTTTAAAAATGAAGCTCAACTTTGCTTTTCTGCAAATCACTCCTATGTGAATCAAAGAGGGGAAGACAACAATGTAAGTGGACACACACCAGCTTATTAATAAGCTTTGGGCAAATGCCAATGTTAGCACTGGAAATGCAACATCATTGGTTTTGGGTAGAATTTCTGCCACCAAAGGCCTGTAAAATCTTGCTCTTGTGCACAGACCTTCCTCAGTTGAAGTCGATGGGCAAATAAGGGTTATTCACAATGAGTAAGGGTTTTTTTCAAAGCTGGGACTTTATTCCGTGACACAATTAAAGAGATACCACTTCTCACCTATGATGGGCATGCGGCATCACATTCGATTCTGGCAAGAAGGTGGAATTTTCTTCCAAGCACATCTGCTGTCTGTGGACGACATTCAGTGGAATAGATTTTTTTTCCCGCCTCAGCGTACGCATGTGCCAAAGCCTTCTTGCGAAAAGTACTTAATGTTCTACAGCACGTCAGTCACACGGTGCCTGCCAGTGCAAAATGAACATACTTCCTGGGAGAGATGCCATTTGCACTGGCAGCAGAGCCTAGTGAAACAATCATGTCGAGGCACTTTACACATGACAGTGAAAGTGCACACATGTGAAGAGCTCCGAAGTACAGTGCTGCAGATCTTGGCGCACTATTTTACAAGTACACATGGAGCAAGAGAATCCTGTGCCAGTGACAGCTGCAAGTAGGTGGAATTAGTACCCACATAAACAATATACTTGTCAGCAACCTAGGGAAGAAGGTGCACCAGCGTTCACTCCAGATAATATCACTGCTGGGGTCTCTGGATATACACCATAGTGTATTGTGGCCGTGAAGGAGGCTACTCGGCCAATATGGTTCTATCCACCTATCTGATCATCAATGTATATCTCACTTAATCAGTTCCCTAATTGCAGGGGACAAAGGAGTTGGTGGAACTCCCTCCCTCCTATTCTCTGCCTGTGGCACACAATGCTTTAGTCTTCTGAGGGTTGTAATACTTTGGTCTAATTTGGGTTGTTGGGTTTAATGTGCAGATGACTGAGTGGTGTTGGTTGGTGACCTGTGCTGTATCAGATTAGATGATCTCTGGTGGTCTCTTCTGGCCATGAACTCTGACTCAGTTGGGTGGTACATATGCAGAATTCAACAAAAACACAACATTTTCCATTGTGGATCAGACCACTGGTTCACTAAGCCATCAACAGTGGGTAATACCTCAAGTTTCAGAGGAAGCAACAACTAAATATATAGACACCCTAGAATGTACCTAAGACACTGGTAGAATGCTTTACAGGAAGGAGTCTTCCTGACCGCTGCAGAACATTGTTTGTCATGAAGCATAACGTTTGATTTCCCTTATACTGGTCTGTATGGCTACCCAAAAAAGCTCAGATTCACCCCTCAACTGGCATTAATGGGTTTGCCAAGAATCATTTCAAACCATAGCTAGTCAGAAAAATTAAAATTATCTAATTAAATTCCTGCTACAGTATTTGAAGAATGCTTTTTTTTTTTTTTAACTTTGAGGATATAGAATAACCTATGTAACAGTGAGGGTATTGCAAGGAAGAGGGAAATCTGTACCAGTTGTGAATGGTTCCTGGAGCTAGTTACTCACTCAAATAAGAAATTGTAAAAGAGAAAATTAATATATTTATCTTCCAGAAAGCTGCCACTTTCTATGTCTGTATTCACAACTTCATTGCTGGGTAGCTATTCTCTGTTTGCTGTTGTAGTTATGTCACCTCATTTCTTTGCTAGCGAGAGAGGACGAAAAAAGATAGTAATTTATGACTCTTATTAATACGGTAGGCTGGATGTGTTGACAACATGTCAATAATTATTTCTGGAAAGACCCTAGCAGTAGACTCGAGGACTCTGTAAGATGACTCATTTTACCAGAAGACAGATATGTGTGACCTGAGCTTTATGACAGATGTCAAATATATCGAAGTGTGGTATGAGGAAGATCATCTTATTGGCAAAGTAATGAGAGGCCACTGGGAAGATTAATGCGAAGTCTGGCTTCTGTTGTGTGTTATGTCCCCCTTCCCCATTTTTTCTGTAGGTGAGACAGAGGAAAGAGAGGGATTGCCCATGGTCTCGGGTAGACCTGATGTGAGAGAAATTTGGATAAGCAATAATCCCGGTTAGTGTGACACCTTCCTTTCTACTGGGAGAGTTTAAAAAACAAACAAATAAACAAACAAAAATACCTCAGCAGAAATAATCATGGCTTTTGATAAATCTGTGACTCTGCTCTATGTGAGTCCAACTCACCAAACAGTGTGGCTCTTATCTTCCAAGTGGTTAGTGACTTTGAGTGCCCAAGTTGTGACACCGTAAAGGGGTCTTATTTTCAGAAAGTGCTAAGTACCCACCTCCTGAAAATAGGGCCCTTTTGTCTCAAATTGATCATGGTCACCCCAAAATGGAAGCACCCAAATTCACCCGTCTGTTTGGAAAATGTAGACCCAGAACATTTTTGTTTTCTGATGATAGCACAATGACACGTTCTTTTCAAAGCTGCGACATTAGTCCCTGGGAACAGCTGAGGCACCTTATTTGGTTGGAATTCCTTGTTTATTACTGATCTGCACAGGAGCTGCTAGCATTGCTGCTAATTCTCCCTTGAGAAGGCAAGAGAGAAACAGAGTTCCTTTCAATCTAACTTCTAGAATTCAATAAGGCACTCGGATATCACAGTGATGGTCATGGCACTGCAGCCTGGAATAGAATAGAACAGAATAGCTCTGGCAGCTTGCCATGCAGTCTAACAGTTTGCGCACTAAACTCCATTCCCAGCAGTGTTAGGGTTCTCAGATTACCACAATATGGTGGCCTTCAAGGGTCATGCCATTCCATCTTTCTGTTGGCAAGCACACCTCCCACATCTCTTTTCTCTTTCATGCCTGCTTATCCCCAGAGGAGCGGAGCTCACAGAGATGTCACCGTAAAATAAGGACACTGGATTTGCCCTTCTATGATGGACGGAAGGCTACAGAATGCCACATCGATTGCAGAAACGCTAGGGCAGCACAACCCATTCAGTATGACAGGCACAGGTGTGTCCTTTCTAATGGACAGTGTTTAATACAAAACATTGTGTTTGAAATATGAACCAGCCCTTGTGTTTATAAAAGGTGGTCATTTGTGTAGATTCCCAAAGGATGAATTACCCCACCATTCCATGCTCCTGCAAGAAGAAACTGTTAGGAACTACTTCTTAGGTTTCCCACTGGCTGTTCTGAATGGCTGGGTGCAAATCCTGCCCCTTCATCTTGATAAAGTCTAAAATGCACATTAGGATACTTAGAACTGGAGCTGGGTTAAATGTTTTGGCCTCTTCCCCATGTTTTTCCCCATTGAAAATGCAGATTTGGTGACACTGGAATATTTTGTGAATTCATGTTGGATTTTTTCCAAATCGTTTTGGTTGGTGGGGGGGAATGAGAAAAAAGGTCAAAATGTTTTGTTTTGACATTTTCGTCTGAAGATAAACTCCTTTGGCTTTTTGACATGCTGGACTTTTTGGAAAAGTTCATTTTCGGTTTGACCTGAACCAGTTCTTCCCCTCTCCCCCCACAATTGTCAGGGAACTAAAAAGGCTATTATTCACACAGCTCTATTGAGGACCACTATGTGGCTGGAGCATCTGACGATAGATGACTTCACTGGTTGTGCCACTCCACAGGGTGGGAGGGGCAGCTGAATCTGCCCACAGGCAGCACTACTGATGGTACAGCAACTTTGGAGGAAGAGTCTGTGGTCCAGCAAGCTATTGTTGACCTCCTGTGTGCACAGACAGGGCTGTTTTCCTATGAAACAGAGGTGTTTGCACATAATATCAAAGTCAAAGTGGCAAAATTATATACTTCAATTAACTGAGCTGGTTTTTCAGCCCTCATTTTTTATCTGTGCCATTTTGTTTTTTGTTTGAATTGCGCAATGAGGTCCTGCTCCATGACTAGGGCTCCTAGTTGCTACAGTTAGACAAATAAATAAATAAAAATAAAATATGTCTTGGTTCTCTTTTCACTGGAGACATTTTTGTCATTTAAGTGAGGTTTTCAAGCTGGAAAATATGAATATAAGGCACTTGATGAAATGGAGGGTACTTCTTGACTAAACCAAACCCAACCAAAAGTTCTTCCAACAGAGCAGGATATGTAATACATACATCAAAATCAAGAAGATCATGTTCATGGTTTCACCAGGAATAGGACAAGTTTCTTTCATTCACCTCCAGTAGTGGCACGAATTTAACTATATTGCGTTAGCAGACGCTGCTATATTAATTAAAAATGTAGTTCTAATTATTTACCCTAGTTGGTTCATACAAATCTCAGAAGTGTAATCAGTGGGCTTCCTTAAGGATTTTCTCAGTATTCAGAAATAGAAAGGGTTTTTCTTTTCACTTTACTCGGGAGTCTATTTAGACTCTGCTCTTTTTACTTCCAGGTCACCAGTCCTCATCTGGGCCAGTTGTGTCAATAATGCTTAGCAATCATATAGTACTTTTACATGTGCAAAACATTGTATGGATCCACTAAATTAATCTCACAAAACCCTTTAGAAGTAAAAGGGAAAGTATTATTATCCCTATTTTACAGATGTGGAAACTGAGGCAGAGAGCTAAAGTGACTCATTCTTTGAGGAAATGGCAGAGACTGGAATAGAAATCCGGATAATCAGACTCTTAGCCCTGCACTTGTTCTTCCATGAGTAGTTATGTCTGATGGATGATTCTTCAGTGGTTTGATGTGCTGAGATTAGTTCTTGCATCTGAACATAGTAACAAAAAATTTACAAAGAAAATATCATTTTTTTTATGATGAAAATTTTCTTTCTTTTTTCTCTTGAAAAAATGAGTTAGGACACTCAGGGGTCAGATCATTGTAATTTAATAGGACAAGAGAAGATGAGTATGAGACTCTTAGCAAACCTTTACATATCCTTGGCATATCTTTAGTCAAGTGTTTACTTTCAGCACAAGTTGTGTTTAGCATGGCAGATGGATGGCCTTGTTGCAAACAGCAGAAAGAAGCTCAAAGCAAAGAGAAGTGGAGGGAAGAAGTGGTGAGGTTAGAGACAAAGAGGCCTGGCACTAATATTCTGCAGCTCATGCTTTGTTGGGTGCATGAAGGAGGTAGGCAATATTCAAACTCTATCTCCAGCACATGGTGAATGGTAAAGAGTGGATGAGGAATTCTTGGTTTTTCTTCCTTTGTCAAGTTCTCTTTTCTTCCGTTTCCAATCCCCTCTCATCTCCACACTTCACTTTTTCTCAGTCAGACGAAGGAGTCATCTTGAATAGAAAACGCTGCATCATCTAAGCTGTTACAACATAATAGAGAATGATGTAACTCTACACAGCCTGTCATGTACCCTGGAAGTGTAATTAATAGGTGTGCTCTCCCCACTACCCAAGGCTTGACTGATACAATTTGGGATATCAAATACCAGCCTGAATTGTTTGTTGTGGGTACAAGTAACACAGGTAAGAACACCTGTGAACCAAATACTCTTTATGAATTCTGGCTCCCATTCATTATACACTTTCTGCAAACAGTTAGTAAAAAGAACCAAACATAAATGATCATATAGCTTGAAGAATCAGACTTCTGCAATGATATGAGGCAAGACTATATAAAAACATGCTTTAAACAACAAAGTCATCAGTGTTCCAGGTCCTGCAGCATGGATTTCATTGAAAATCAAGTGCCCTTTAAGCATATTTTCATGAAAATATATCCAGTATCCCTTTCATTATATTTCCCTCCTCCCCCCTTTTCCCCCATTCTATTTCTGGTTTGACCACATGTGAACCAAGATTAAATGATTTAGACACCTTTTTTTCCCCCAGCAGCTAGTTGCATTTGCAGTCTTCTAGAAAAGTGGTTAAAATGAATTTTAATATGTTGATGGCACTTATTGAAGAGCTTAATATTCATAATAAATACCCCTTGAAAGTAATCACTAGCACATCCTTTTGACAGAGGGGTCAAGGCTGCTAATGACAATAACTACTGCAAAATGCAATTCAGTCAATTACGTTAATTAAATTTCAAACTCTGTAATGTCTTCCCATTTATATAGTAAACTAATAGGGGGGAAGAATACCATCTTTATCTACCTCCATTTATATGTCCCAAAATGTTTCCTTATGTTTTGTTTTAACATTTGCAGCTCTCACCAGCTTCTCAGAACATTTAAGATAATTATGGGTTTGGCAAGTAAAGCTTATTCTTCAGCAAGAAAGGTTGAGATTTTCTTCTGAATGTTCTTTTATAGAATAAAAGCTTTTGCTTCACAGATACTAATCTGGTATTTACAGACTAGCTTATTTTGGATAGTGCTAGCATTCCAGCGTAAATGGTAGAAGTGTCTACATTTCAGCGAATCCTTTTTTAATTATATTGTTTGAAATTGGAGTGAAAAGGAACACAGCTGTCTGGAGATTTTAGTAGTATACAGGTAAGAGTATACATAATGAACTCATGAGAAATAACAGCAGCAGAGTTTTAATATATTTTGTGTCGAAGGTACTTTACACTATGGGCCGGATCCTCAGGTGGTGTAAATTGCCATAGCTTGATTCTATATAGGTTCTTACACCACACTCATCACAGCAGTATCTGAATTCCTATTGACTCTAATTCATATACACCAGCAGCAGATTTGACCCATGTTTGTAATGGTGTAATAATGTGTAAAATTTAAGTCCTACATTATCTGGAACATACATGAATTAAATTACAACCACCAGTGACAATCCTACTCTGAATTCAGTAAAATCAATAACATTGTTCACGTGCACACAGTAAGTACTCATGTGAACATTTGTAATGAGACAAGTGGGATTGTTTTTGAAGCAGCTACATGAATTTAGTGACTATTTTAGAGTTGTCTATCTTTTGGGGAGCCCCTTATTTTGCCAGTAGTATAATCTTTGTGATCAGCAGCAAATAAGGTTTGAAAAAGATCCCCCTAAGCAAATGCATTAGGTTCTGAAATACAGACTGGGGTATTTTCTTTGCATCTCTGTGTTTTCGTTGAACTCTTGTAAACCGCAACAGTATCTTCAGTGGGCTTCCAAGTTCTCTGACAATGCTATAAATTTCATTAGGAAGATGAAGTCCTACAGTGCAATTAACTCCAAAAGTGGTACAAAGCAATAGCTTGGAGATACTGGCCTACAGTACTTAGCACTTAACTCTGAAATTCAGATAAGCCCTATCAACTCAGGGTTGTGTTTAATGTTCACTCCTGCTTATATACCGCAGACACAACCTAGCGGTCACAGTGTTAACACTCCCTAATATCTATTACAATTAGTTTTTGATTAAGAGGCCTAGCATGGCTTTTGAAGCCTTTTATGTTGTGTCAAATGGCTAGTGATGGAGTGAGATGCACAGACACCTCCCAGTAACAAAGCATCTTGTAAAAGGTTTCGAGTGAACTATTTTATCATCCTAATGGAAACCAGATGACTCTAACTCCCCCTTTAATTTCAACTATTTACTGAAGAGTCCTTGTTTTGAATTACTTAAAGATTTATTCTAAACCACTATCTCATGCATTAAGAATCACGACTAGCAAAGCCATTTCAAGCGGAGCAAAGCTTTTAAAGACAACTGTGACCGTGTCATTGCATTTTATTCTTAAGCATATACACTTTGTAATGCTTTTGAATTTTTATATCTCTGCTTAAATTTTCTTTCTGATTATCACAAACACAGCTTTTATTCAAACATTTTGACACTGTAGTGGAGCTTCTAGTTGTGATGGCGATAGCCAGGGGCTTTATTCCACATTAGGATTACTGATGACCACAATTTGGCCCTGATCCTCCATGTTGGGCCTGATTCTTACCAGAGTAACCTTGTTGACTTCAGGAGAATTACCTGAGACAGGGCTGCAGGATGACGCGTGTAGAAGAAAAGCTTGTCCTCAGTATGCAGTTCAATTATTTCAACTGAGCAGTGAGATCTTAGGAGGAAAACCTGAGCCACGCTGTGTTGGTTACTCCATCGTAATGGCTGGAATTAGCTCCCAGGGTTCTAGCATTCCCCATCTGTCGATGGAAGGACTTCAGGGTGGATCACCTATCGCTGCCCCTACTCCCCTCTGGCATATCCTTTCCCTTGGCCCAAGTCATTCTGCACCTTGCTGCCCCAGGAGTCATCAGAGAAGTGGGCTCACTACTGCAGCCTCAACTCCTGCTGCCTCCCGGCTTGTGCAACAGAACTCCTCCATTTCCATGCAGCCTCCCCAACACAAAGAGCAAGGCTCCCCCCCCCCCCCGCATGAGCTAGGATATGAACTGTTTATCATGATGTCATGTAACACTGTTGTTTACATCTGTGTCAGTATTTTACTATGCATACTCTCCCATTCTCTGTGGAATGTCCTTCTAAGATATGTCCAGGCAATGCACTAGAATATTTTGTACTAAGTAACCCTATTTGTGTCAAACAGTAAAATATTTCTATATATTTAAATAGTATTAGGGTGTTGAATGGTATTAATGAATAACATGGATAGTTGAATGAATATGGAAAATTGTAGCTAAATTAATATTGAAAGAAACTCTTGCGTCAGGAAAGAAAGAGGTAAAGAAAAAAAGCTTTAAGCATGTAGGAATAGGTCATGTATTAAAGTATAACCATTAAAAATGTTTTGAGAAACCAATGATTACTCTGAATAAACAGAAGGCATTGTGCTTTATTTATTAAAAAAACACCAAGCAAATATTGACTTCTCTTGAGGTGGTTATCAAGATTTATTGACCCTTTGGGACAATGAATCTTCAGAGTTACAGAAACAAGTAGTCAATATGTATTGTTATGAAACAGTCATTGCAAATGTTTTTACTGTAAATATCTCCATTCGGTTGATGGATTTCAAAAGTCTGACTAGTTTCCCTTTGAAACCAACATTCCATAATATGTGGAGATGTACTTTAGCGGTACAGGAAAAACAAAGAAACATCTGTTCACTTCCTGCAAGGGGACAAATAACTGCTGCCAATTAGGATGCCATTATTTATATATGTGATCTTATTGGCTCATCAAAATTAAATAATATTTGTCATCACCAAACTCAGCAGCATATATGGAATGCACTAATTTCTATAGATGATCTGATTGCATGATACTGTTCCATACTTCACTGTTATTGACTCCTGAAGTTGGACTTCAGAAAGTTACTGACTCTTTACCTTGATGTTATCAGCCAATTGCGAGGAATTTATTTATTTATTTATTTAAAATGTATGGGACAATACTACTTAGAGCTACAGATGGGCCCAGAGCTGGTTCTAGGTAGGGATGGGTGAGCAGAAGTAGCAGCCGGGGGGTGCTGCCCTGTTGTGCTGCTCAGCTTTTTCTTTCTCGACTATTTGGGACAGGGGGCAAGGGGGGCATGTTGAAAACATTTTCTGCCCTGGCCTGCAAAATGGCTGGAGACATTCCTGGATTGGCCTTAACTGCACAATTCAGATTTGGATCCAGGTCTTAACAAATTCCAAATTTCAGAGGTGCATGAATTTGATCCTGGCTCATCTTTGTTTAGAAGTGACTTAATAATAATAAATAATAATGAGATACATTACACATTATACCCTGAGATCTAAAAACACATCACAAACATTAATTCATTAAGCTTCACAACACCTCTTCAGTGCAGGCAACTATTATCTACATTTTACAAATGGGAAAATTGAGACACTGAAACATTAAATGACTTCCTGACGGTCACACGTGGAATCAATGGCAAAGCTGGAATGAGGGCTCAGGTGCGCCGATTCTCAGTCCCTTGCTCCAACGACTAGGCAAAATTGCATCTTACACATCTTTGAAATTAGCACTCTCAAAGTCAATTAAGTACAGAAACATACTAGAGGTCAGATGCTGGCTGCCCCTGAATGTGTGCATAAAGGAGCTGGAGGACACAGATACACTGTACAGCTGAATAGAGGGCAATCGGTTTTCCCGTGCTTGTCCTCCTTGGACTTGATCCAAAGCCCATTGAAAGCAGTGGAAAGATTCCCACTGACTTATGCAGTCTTTGGCTCAGGTCCCATGACTGCCAGGTTCTGGGGAGCCATATTGTTGGCCAATCCCCAAAAGGGGCACAGTAAGAGTGTGTCAAGGATCCTGACTCTCTGTGCACTGGCTGGCAGCCAGAAGCTGGCACTAAGGGGAAAATAGACTCACCTTGTTTGTGTGCCCTCTCCACAGATTTGCCCATAGGCAGCGTGGTCTGGTTTAAAAGCTAAGAACTGGCCCTAAGTAAACTATACAGATTGCATTGTTAACATCCTGGCTAGGAAGATTTAGTTGGGGTTGGTCCTGCTTTGAGCAGGGGATTGGACTAGATGACCTCCTGAGGTCTCTTCCAATCCTAATATTCTATGATTCTAACATTTTTTTCCATGGCATCTTGGGCCTGGAATTGGCATCCTTTTTTATATATTTTAAATTGAAATAAATATCTGATCACACCCATTTAAAACACACTGTGATTTTTTACATACTATGCAAATGGGCTCTGATAAGGTCTCCTGGGATTATAATATGGGGAAAGACACTTTATCCAACACTTTCCTATATCAACACAACAATATTTGTCAGCCATTACTTTCTCCCTAACCATTACTGGCATATAACAGCACTCCTGGTTCACCAACCCAACCATCAGAAAGCTTTTCTGTTTGGCGATGTAACATGCCATCTACTTTAACTCGATGCTTTGACCCCTTTTATTGTTCTCTCTCTTTCCTTCCACTCTGTTCTTCGATTGTGAATTCACCTTTTAGCTGATGGTAGATGCTGTTATAACGTAACCCAACTTAAATAATGTAATTTTCAAGATGAGTATGTCATATTGGGTACAATGCACATGAGATTCAAATACACATTTTTTATTGTGACTGTATCACACTTGAAAGTAACGTCATTTATCTTTACAAATATTTGTGCACACATACATATAGAATCTAATATATAAGTATTATAATGCTTACCATTCAGTCCCTTGTGAGTATTCATTCCTCAAGTTTTGCATCATTTTTATTACCAGGAAGAAAACCCAATAGGGCTGGACAGAAAAGATACAGTTGAGCTGAAGAGCTAACCATAAATGAACAAAAATCTCACTCCTCAAGGCATATTTGAGAGAGAAATGCTGAGAATGCAGGTGTGGTTTTTTTTTTTTTAAATCTTGGTAAAACTTTTACCATTGGCAATTTAAATACATTTTGCTGAGAATCAATACACAGCTCCCATGATCATCAATAGGATACTAAACTCCAACATTTATATATTTTAATATTTTTTTTCAGTAATGATCTAAAGGAGGGGCTATATTTAAAGGAACAGATAAGTTTGGGGATGAAATCAATCCTTTATTTCTGAGATGTCGTCAACAGAGAGCATTGTGAGCTCAGGGTTAGAATCAATTGCAGAATAAATAGCTCTGCAACACTTTTTATCAATGATTCAAATAACTTTACTGTGGCTGCCTGAATTAAAAAATAATTTGTTGGGAAGGCAAAGGAGAGAGCAAGTGAGAAATTAATGTCTTAAAATTAGGTTTCCTCTAGATTTAATTCCAGATGCCTTTATATATTGGTTCTTGCCCTTCCCAAAGTTACTTCTCTCCAATATTTTCATGAGCTTGTTGTAAACTGCCAGTTTTCCTGTGTTAATTATTAATATGACCTGTTTATGTACTAGTTATCCAGCTAACCATTAATGTCTGTTTACTCATTGATGACCTTTGCAACTGCGTACCAGTCTCTTGGCCTGTAAATGTCAACATTTTTTAAAATAATCGAAATGCTCTTCATATCTTATGACTATCTAACCAGCCCCTTAAAGATTTTTTATTTAATGGAAAAACAAAATGTAAATACTGTCATTTTGCAAGGATTACAAGTCACAGAATTATAAGTGAAGGGAGTTTAAGTGAGAAAATCTGGAAGAAAAAAATCTCACTATAAAATTCTCTCACTTTTGTACTAAAAACCAAAAGCCACCCAATCAACACTAGAGGACCAGGACCTAGTCCTGGGGAATAGAACACATTTTTCTCAAAATTTCATTGTTAAGCACTTCCACATTCAAATAAGTCTGCAGGATTTATCTCTAGTTAGGCAGTCAGTATACATTTAGCCTGACACTGGCAAGACATTTCTATTCCACACACTCTCCTCCTAATGGCTAAAACTTAGATTAGGCAATATAGCTGGATTAAGGCTGCAAGGGGTGACCTTAATTTTACCCATCACTGCAAACTGTGTATCTTTGGTTTTTGCTAATTACGTTAGCCTAATTTAAACGGACAATCAGAAGCCCAGTTAAATACAAAAAGGAAAGCATTTCCCCCTAGAAATGTTGTGTATGATGGTCTCTCCCTAGCTGTTAGTGAAATTATAGAAGCAGACAGCTTTTCTTTTCCTTGGTCAACTAACATCCTTGTCTAGGAAAAGCCCCCTTGAAATATTATCTTTGCAATAACATTTACAATTTCTAGATTTGAAACTGGCTTTTTACTGAAATATTTTCAAATATTAACATCTTCCTGTCCATAAGTAAGAGTGGTGGCATTTACAGAGATTACAGTTTTGAGATATGTCATGTGTGTATGTTCACATTTTCTCGTTTGTTGAGTTCTAACTTCAATAACATTTGGGGGGGGGTATTAGCTACAACCCTGAATGCTTACTATGACTGCCATTTTGTGTTGAATTTATCTTATAGAAAGTAAACTGTGGAGCAATCTGTCAGAAGTCATTGTATTTGCAATCTTTGAGGATTTGGATTGGGACTGGGTGGAAGGTAAACTTCCTAGATCTCCGCTCTGAGCTGCATAGACCATTTCGGTTCAACATTGTGAAGGAATTTGGCTGGGCAGTAACACATTTCCTTAAACACTATGCTTCTGTACAGGATGGTTATACAGTACTTCAAGCATATAAATGCCTCTCAGGTTTTCTGTTATCTGAATGATAATTCACCTTGTCTTTCTCAGTGTGGTAGGTAATAAATAGAAATCTGGACTAGAAGTGAGACATTCTGACTTAGTTAAATCTTTTGGTGTCCTGAAAAAGACAAGTAGACTCAATTACTATGCCAGCAACTATATAAAGATTGTCAAATTAAATATAAAAGCTTATGTTTAAATAATGGTATGACAAAACCCAAGAAAAAAGAGAAAAATCAAAGCTATGCTGACATTGTGACCTGAAATCACCATGCTATGGAAAAAAAAAAAAAGATGCCCTCTAAAATGTGTATTATTGTCCTAAGCTTCTAGAATAGAGATTGAGAGGCTATACTTGGGTAAATCCATATTAACCTAGACTCTTAAACAACTGGCTATTGAGGCATTAATTCATGCTGTGTTCCCACTATACTATAACCACTTCTTTTTGAAACAATTCCACAGTTCATTTTCTAAATATGTATGCATAAAAGGTAATAATACTAATGCCTTACACTTTCAAAGAGCACCTTAAGTAAGCCTCCAAAAATTCCTATGAGGTTAGATAAGTGATATATTGATTTCACTTCACACACCACTGAAATGGTTCAAACACAACAGCGGTTTAATAGTGCACAGTAACACTACACAACAGGTCTGCAACTGAAGAAGCATACCATATCCGACTGAAACTTCAGGGGGAATTTAGGTAGAACATAATTATTTGTACTGGAGCTTCTCCAGGACATTGGGTTAACTCCGTGTTTCTCACAAAAATACTATGGGACCTTAAATAAAACAAAATGGTAAGGACTTTTTAAGAATATCTCATTTGTAAGACCATACCTCAGCATCCCTTACTACAAATGCCTGGGAATTCAGTGCTGACTCAGAGGACAATGCATAAACTAGAATATCCAGCACCATTTCTTGCAGCAACTAGGTCTTCCTTGTAGGTCTCCTATCTAAGACTGACCTAGCTTGACATACTTTAGTTTGTGAAACAAGGGCCATGGCTCAAATGTAATATTCCTCTGGGAAGTGGTGTCCTATCTTCATCTATTTTCACATATGAATCAGTGATATATTTAATCATTTTTTAAAATGCATACTATCTACATGGAGCTGTTTGTTTACCCTCTAACTATATATCCAGTCTCTATAGATCAGAGTGTCTCCTTTAACAATTGTTTTTAAAAAACACAGATTATGATTTTATAGACTGGAACAGCTCTATTTGCTTCATAGATAGCCGGATATTTATTTTCCACTATAAAGAATATAATATTTACCCAATGGACCAGAAAAACTTCTTCATAGCTGCAACTCACCCCATTATGCCAACGTATTTAAATACATATAAGGCCACATTTTGCTTGCCTTACTCATTTTGTAGCCAGTAGGACTATTTGTGCAAATAAAGTGAGCAGGAGTTAGCCCATATGTCCCACCAACTTCTAAGACTCTTTTATAGATTTATGTATAATAGCCTGAGGAAAGGACTTTGGGCAGACTTATAGCTTCCATGATTATTTTTTATTTGTCTTGTGTCCTTCAGCTCTTCTGTCTCCTTCAATGGGAGAGTGGATTATTCAGCACTGTATTCTGTGCTGTGCAGGTGGGAGATGTCTTAAATATCTATATGCTGATGGGGTGAGTGGTTAGGGCATGTTTTTGTTACATATACAAAAGACCAGGAGTAATTTCCATGATCTTTATGTTCCTGCAGGTGTCTGTGTGTGTGTGCACAGTTCCTGGGGAATAAAAGGATAATTGCAGAAGAGAGGAGCATGAATTCATACCTCTGGGATGTACGCTATCCTTTTGTTAATTTGTTGAGTGCCAACAATGTGCTTGATGCTGCATGGAACACAGAGGAGATATGTGTTGAGGGATGATGTTCATATGATGTGTGAGAGCATGGCTCTCACACATCATATGAACATCATCCCTCAACACATATCTCCTCTGTGTTCCATGCAGCATCAAGCACATTGTTGGCACTCAACAAATTAACAAAAGGATAGCTGTATCAATTTAGCCTCCTTAAAACTCCCAGGGCCTGATTTTCTCTTTCAGGACATAAGTAACATCCCTTGACATAAATGGCAGATACTGGTATGCTGCCGAAGGCTAAAGTCCCCTGACACTAAATTACTCCCATTTATGACATGTATCTTATACCTCCTTTCACACCATTTGTGTATTTCACAATTATCTCTGCTCCCAGGAGTTTATAGTCTTGGAAATCCCATATTTGGCATCATGGGAAACATAGATCATCTTTCTCCTTAGTTCTCTTTGTATCTTCTGTTTATAATAAATACAGAGATTCAGAGACTGAAATTTAAACATGCTGAATGCAATGTATGTTTGACCCATTGTAGTGTTGCTATGAATAAGAAATGGGGTCCTTCAGATGTCCTTCCTCCCTACTTTATCTTTGTCATCTCTCCCGCACAGGCTCTCCTCTGTAGCTGGGATGTACATATAGTTCTCTGGTCATTTAGAGTGACCATACCAGGATCACCGAGCACAGAAGTTAAGGTGGAGGACACTATGGCTCACCAAGTGCATTCCCCAGTTATTGGGGTTCATTTATCATTTGGACTCAAACCGTTTGATTAAGAATGTGACTGTGTTATCGGTACAGTATTGTAGTATCTGATGGTGGGGAAACTGCTGCTTTAAATCTAAGGAGGTTGCTTGTTCTGATAATCCGTCAGTAGGTTATTCACAAACTATGGATTTTAGCCCGCTCTGTGGTTCCTTCTAGAGTCCCACCCTTTCAGAGGCAGCACACCTCAGGCACGTACTTACCCTACCCATCGGTGTGCCATCCCCAGCTCCTGATGTGCAGTTCTGTCCAGTTCCAAAACAAAGATGGGCCATCACAAACACTAAATTCCCCAATTATCCTACTCTGATCTCTTCTCCCAGAAAACTTGTTCTAACCCAATTTTGGTCTCAAGGGGTTTGTATAGAGAAATACATTTTCGTTGCAAAGTTTGGACCTAGGTCTGAAATTTCCACAAAGTCAGTGGTGTCCAGAGCTGGTGTCAGCTCAGACTGGTTCTATCTGGATAAATAGCCGAACTGTTGGGTGCTTCTCTGAACAGGACCTTTGAACCAACTGAGGTTCATCCATCATCACTTCAAATAAGAGAGTGAGTCCCTTTTAATTTAAATTGTGTGGGAATCTGAGT